CTTCCTCTCCTACTGCTCCCCCCCCCCATTCACTCCTCAGGAAGGGTAAGGCTTCCCATGGGGAGTCAACAAAGGCAGACTTTTCACTTGGAGGCAAGACCAAGGCCCTCTCCACTATATGTAGGCTGAGCAAGATATCCCTCCAAAAAGAATACACTACTAGAGGACAGTTCAAGCACTAGGGGCTAAATCCTGGTCCCACTGGTCACAAATGTCCCTCACATTCAGGGGGCCTAGTTTGGTCCTATGTAGGTTCCCCCACCATCAGTCCTGAGTCTGTGAGCTCTCACTACTCAGCTGTTTCAATGGGCATCACCACCATGGTCTTGACCCCTTTGCTCATGTTATCACTCCTACCTCTCTTAGGCTGGTCTCAGGTAGCTTGGCCCAGTGCTTTGCTGTGGATCTCTGTATCTGACTCCATCAGTTGCTGGTTGAAAGTTACGATGACAATTAAGGTAGTCAACAATCTTGTTACAGGGGAAGGCCAACTCTCCACAGTTGTTTAGAGTCTTATCTAAGGTCATCCTTGTGGATTCCTGTGAATTTCCCTATGCCAGGTTTCTCTCTAGCCCTTTTATGGCTCCCTCAATCAAGATAACTCTTTCCTTTCTCTCCTGCACTGTCCTTCCCCCTTCTTGAGCATCCCATTCCCTCATGTTCTCCTTATCCTTCTCCTTCTTTCCTTCCCTTAACACCCTTCCTTCTCCTCCCTTCCTAATATTCTCAGGAGATTTTGTCAGTTTCCCCTTCCCGGCGGGGGTGGGGTGGGGGGGAGGTGTCCGTGTATGCTTCTCTTAGGGTTCTCCTTGTTTTTTTGCTTCTCAGGGATCATAGACTATAAGCTGGTTATCCTTTGTTTTACCTCAGTGTAAATCCAACCACGCTGACGCTCATGGAAGAGAAAGTGGGAAGTAGCCTTGAATGCATGGGTGCAGGAAACCACTTCCTAAATATAACACCAGTAGCACAGACTGAGAGCAACAATTAATAAATGGGACTTCTTGAAATTGAGAAGCTTCTCTAAAGCAAAGGACATGGTCAATAAGACAAAACAGCAGCCTACAGAATGGGAAAAAATCTTCACTAACCCCACATCAGACAGGCAACTGATCTCCAGAATATATAAAGAACTCAAGAAACTAGACATCAAATTACCAAATAATCCAATAAAAAATGTGGTACAGATCTAAACAGAGAATTCTCAACAGAAGAATTGCAAATGGCCAAAAGACACTTAAGGACGTGCTCAGGGAAATGCAAATCAAAACGACTCTGAGATACCATCTTACACTGGTCAGAATGGCTAAAATCAAAACACTAATGATATAACATGCTGAAGAGGATGTAAAGTAAGGGGAACACTCCTCCATTGTTGGTGAAAGTGCAAACTTGTACAGCTACTTTGTACAAGTTTGTACAGTGTGGCGGTTTCTTAGAAAATTGGAAATCCACCTCCTATGGCAAGACCCCAGATTGGGCATACACGGGAAGGATGCACACTCATACCACAAGGACGTTTGCTCAGCTATGTTCATAGCAGCATTATTTGTTTGTTTGTTTTTTTTTTTTTTTGGTTTTTCGAGACAGGGTTTCTCTGTGGTTTTGGAGCCTGTCCTGGAACTAGCTCTTGTAGACCAGGCTGGTCTCGAACTCACAGAGATCCGCCTACCTCTGCCTCTGAGTGCTGGGATTAAAGGCGTGCGCCACCACCGCCCGGCTATAGCAGCATTATTTGTAATACTCAGACCCTAGAAACAACCTAGATGTCCCTCAGCCGAAGAATGGATAAAGAAAATGTGGCATATTTACACAATGGAGTACTATTCAGCAGTTAAAAACAATGACATCTTGAAATTTACATGCAAATGGATGGAACTAGAAAAAAACATCCTGAGTGAGGTAACCCAGACCCAGAGAGAAAAACATGGTAGGTACTCACTCGTAAGTGGATTCCAGCAGTTTATTTGTAATTGCTAATTTTAATACAGTATTCCGCCGTGTTCATATCACCACAAAGCATTTTTCTATTTATCTGTTAGTGGGTTTGGGGTTGTGTCTAGATTTTTAACTATTAAAGGTTTAGCTTCTCGGCCACTTGTTTACAAGTCTTTGTATGGCCATGTGCACTCGTTTATCTTGGGTAGGCACCAAGTTATTTAGAACAACTTGTGTTATCATATCGGCTGCCTGGACCCTGGAAACCTAATCAAGGAACTATTTGCGAGTGTGTGAGTGCATGAGTGTGCCTTTGTCTATGGGTGACCTTAGTCTTTAGGAGGATGCAGGCTCTCAGTGACGCCCTCACTCTAGCTCTCAGCTTTGACTGCTCCCCACCTGGATTCTTGTCTGCTTTCTCCTCCTCTGCATTCAGCCCTCTTCAGAGTTATGGCTGCTGTTGCCGCTTAGTCCTGCAGGTGGCAGAAGTGGGCAAGCTCTGAAGGCCCAAGGCTAGCTGCTCCCACTAGAAGCTGGGGTTTCCTGTATGTCCAAGTGGGAGGACTCAGCACTTTTGGGTTCCCCTCCTTCCCCAGGGGGAAAGATTGGCAGATCTTCTAGAACTGCAGGCTCCAGTTCAGACTTCTAAAGTTCATCAACGTTTTTATCTTCCAAGCTCCTACAGAACAGCCCCCCACTGATGTGGGAGTAATTTCTTATTAATAAAGAAACTGCCTAGACCCATTTGATAGGCCAACCCTTAGGTAGGCGGAGTAAACAGAACGGAATGCTGGGAGAAAGAAGATGAGTCAGGGAGTCGCCATGGTTCTCCCACTCCAGACAGACGCAGGTTAAGATCATTCCTGGTAAGCCAGCTCGTGGGCTACACAGATTAATAGAGATGGGTTAGATTAATATGTAAAAGCTAGCCAATAAGAAACTGAAACTAATGGGTCAGGCAGTGTTTAAAAGAATACAGTTTCCGTGTAATTATTTCGGGTAAAGCTAGCCGGGTGGCGGGACACAGCCCACCGCTCGTATTTCAACACCCCACCTCGGCCCCCCAAGCTCAATCAGTGAGTTTTCTAGTCCAAAGACCTGCAATCCTCCCCCAAACACATGGTCAGATCTCTCACAGCAATACCTCATTATCCTGGTACCAATTTCTGTCTTAGGGTTACTACAGCTGTGATTAAACACTATGGTCAAAGCAACTGGGGGAGGAAAGGTTTATTTGGCTTATTCCTCATACTTATGAAGTAGATGGGACTGAGGCATGGTGTGGGTTTTTGCCTCCTAATTTTCTTTTCTTTTTTATGCTTGTCAAGTGGTAGGTGGAGACTGTCTTCTGTCCCCTACCACGTTCCTGTCCCTCTCTCCTCAAGAATGGAGTGGGCAGACAGAAATGAGTACAAATGATAGGCATTTTATTTTTCAAATTGGGATTGGCAAGGTTCAAGGGGAACAAAACAAAATTTAAAACAGACTTCCACATGGGATTAAAATGAAACAAGTTTGAACTCTCCATAGCAGTGGGATGTTCTTAACAGTTCTGAGAAGTGTTCCAGCTAAGGGGAGTGTTTCAGCTCAGCGGCTTGCAGAGCTCTGGGAGGCCAGCCAAGAGCAGTCCCTTGTGGAGCAAGTCCGTAGGTACCTACAGGAGGACCGTGAGCGCCTGTCTCCTGTTCTCCTGTCTCCAGAGGGTCTGGAAGGTCGGAAGGTTGAAGCCACAGTCTCTAAAGCAGCAGTTCTTGGAGGCTGGAAATAGTTGCAGGGATGAATTCCCCTTTGCCACCCAGCCAGTGCCAAGTCCTGGAGGCTGAGGCAGAAACAACTGAGTCCTGGAAGCTGGCTTTGCCCAGGACAGAAAAACCTCAGGTGCAGGCAGCCTCCTGCAAGTCTGCCCTCTTTATGAGTGAGGTAGGTGTTTGGGAGTCTGGCTCTTCGAAGTACAAAGGACTTTTTTTTTTCTTCTTCTTCTTTTTCTGGAGAGCAGGAACACCAGGCTTGGAAGTCTTTCTTTCCTCTTTTTTCCATGGGTTCTTGCAATAGTTCTGGCTTTATAGCCCTGAAATGTGTGGACTTGGTTGTCAGGATGCTAGCTAGATCCTAGCTGGCTAAATGTGAATATGCAAATAAGGTGAAGAAATAGCACCAACCAGAGAAGAGCTATCAAACCCAGTGGTGGAAAGACCCCAGAGCTTCACCAGTCTCTGTTTCCACAGAGGCAGGAAACACTGTAGAGGTTTCTGCTGTGATGTTTGCAGATGCTTGCTGTGTCCAGGCTGCTCACTTAGTTCATCAGGGCTTTAAATGAGATTAAAATGAAAGAGCTTTGAATTCTCGGTAGCAGTGGAATGTTGTTTTAGTTCTGAGAAGTGTTACAGTTACTCTGAGTGTTACTGCTCAGTAGCTCTGTGTGTGGTGGTGGTGGGGCTCTTCGCTTCTGTTTAGGGCTGCTGCTACTGTTTTAACCACTGTTAGCAGTCTGCTGTCTGCAGCTTCTTTATCCTCTAGGCTTGAGTCTGCTGGGCACTGGAATGTTCCTAATGGGGGCCCTCTATCCCCCCAACATTTGTATACAGTGTTACATTTCCTAGCCATATAGTTGTGGAATGTTGGTCTCCTTCACTCACCCACTAAGCAGTGAAATCAAGATATTGTGCTCAGTGCCCGCTGTATACTCTAGTCTTTAAAAAAAAGGGGGGGGGCAGGGTTTTTAACTAGCTCAAAGTAGAGTGTGGCCTGAAAATGCTACATGGACAATTCCAGAAACAAACAATGTTTAAGTTTTAAACTGTAAACCATTCTGAGTGGACTGATAAAGTATGCCCACTGCCAAGGATGTCTCACAGTCACCCAGATGGCCCCCTTGGCTTTCCCAGGTAGGCTGTCCAGAGGGAATAATGACATCTCTGAGAATGCGTCCTGCAGCTGGCAAGACTGTTGGAAGCTTTACAGACCAAGACGAAGCCAAGAGGGATCACAGATGGTGGGATTGAGGCCAAAAGAAAGACCAGGCAGGAATGTGATTCAAGGCCCAGGCTTCAGCTGTTGAGCTTTCAGGATACCCATTCCCCAAGATCCCTAGCCCACACCTCCCAGAGTTCTATGATCAGGTGAGAATGGGTCTCCTTCAGAGCTTGGTAGAACTGACTTTTGCTGGCCCGATCCCAGGACTGACTGTAGCTGAACAGCCTCCGCATCTTGTTGGGATTGGTGGCCTCAGCACGAACCATCTCATACTGCTCTTCACTCAACACTTGACCGTACAGTCTGTCTAGGACAGGGTCCACTGATGTCACTCGGGCCACCAGCTGCTCCCGATGCTGGTCCACAAAGTGCCGGGAGGGTCTGGCCACTGCAGGTGAAGGCAAGACTGGTGATGATCCAAGAAAGGCTCCCACTGGAGCCTCTCCTGGCTCATTCTCCACTTCTGTTTCTTATCTCATTGTGTCACCGGCTTCCTTTTCACTCTGGCAAGCCTTTTGACTACCAGAGAAACCCCTCATCTCCCCTCATGTCAGCGTCCAGCCCGACACCCCCATGGGAACAGGAGGGCTCATGATTGAGGTTGTGAGTGAGGTGTGTTACGGCCCCCATGGCCAGCAGTGAGGAGCATGGGGACTCTGGATGTAGAGCTCTCCAACCCCACCCCGGTGAGGTCTGCAAAGAGAGAGTCCCCTCTTTTCTTTTTTCCTTTCCCTCCAGAGCCAGATAGTGCATGCACCCTGAAATTCCCACTACCTCATCTGGTCTGGCAGGTACTACTGACCTGTAGGGGCTGCAGCGACCAGGGTGGATGCAGGTCTGAGGTCCCCTAGAGGAAAGGAGAGATGGAGCAGCATCTATATCAGGGCTATTATGAACTCACACCACATACCCCGAATCTCTCATCTAGATGCCTGGATTCTGAGAACAAGCCAAGCTGCAGACAAATTCTGTCAGAATCCGGCATGAGGATAGGATGGGCCCATAGACAAAATCTAGGTGAATTCTTTCCTGATGTCTCTAGGAAGCAGAAGCTGGAAGTTATAATTTTAGAAAGAAAGATAGTTTCTAAATGAATAATAGCAATTTCTTCCAACATCATCTCAACCCATGTTAGCCTGTCTTAGCCTGAATTAGATTCCTGGAGGAGAATTAACCAAATCAGAGGATAGTTTTAAGTACTTGATACTTTGAGTATAGATCTATTCCCTTTCCTCTTTAATATTTTTAAAGAATTGTTTTTGTAATTTTAAATTATGCTTGTGTGTGCCTATGTACATGAGTGTAGGTGCCTACAGAGCCCAGAAGAGGGTGCGGGATGCCCTGGAGCTGGAGTTAGAAGTAGTCATGAAACATGGGTGTTGGGAAACAAACTCGGGACTTCTGGAAGAGTTGAAATTCTGATCAAATCGTGTCTCTATAACTTAGAGAGCCAAATCATTTCTCTGGGGACATTTCTTATCACCTGGCCCACCATAGATCTTTCTCCTACGTGTGTGCACCCTGGATTTGTCCTGCATTTACCTGGTTTCAACACAGTTTCCCAAACTACAGAATTCTTGTCTTTTATTTCCAGCCGGACCCCTGATTGTAAGTGGCCAACATAGATCTCAGAGAAGAGCTGGGCTTCTGTGGAGCTCCGGTAGCACAGCTCCAGTTCCTGGAGAGAGCAAGAACCTCTGTGTGAGAAGCCATTGCTTGTTCTGAAGATGAAGCTTTTCCCACTTTAACACCTTTTGGGTCCTACTCCATCTCAGAAGGACATTTTCCTTCCCGCTGAAGTCAATCAACAGCATTGATAGCACCATTCCTACCTCAGAAGGGTAAGAGCCCTGAAGAGAATCTACGGACCAGCTCAGGGCTCTTTCTCAAAGCAGTGCTCACATAGTCTAAGCCAAACACTTTCCCCTTCATCTTTTTCTTTCCTTTAGACAGAATTTCTCTTTATAGCCCTGACTGTCCTGGAACTCACTCTGTAGACTAGGTTGACCTTGAGCTCAGAGATCTACCTGTCTGCCTCTTGAATGCTAGGATTAAAGGCATGTGCCACCAACCACCTGGCTGTCCATCTTTAATTGGGCCTTTTTTCCCTTATTTCTTATCTTGAACCCAAGCCCTTATTCCTTCAGTACAAAATCTCATTCCTAACACGTCTTAAACCTAAACTGTTTCCAGTTAACAGAAAATTTACATCTATCCCTTTTCCTAGGCAGTTCCAATCCAAGACAGAGAACTTGGTTTCCAACTGTCTTTCAAGATTGCCCTTCCCAAGTCTCTTCAAACTCAGAAAATTGTACAACCTTCTGGTTAGTGCTCAGATCCCCATCTGTAACCTGTTCCTTTTTCTTCCCATAGCAACCTGTCTATCAAAGCCTGTTGCCTTTACCAATAAGATCGATTTGGATACCTGCCACAAAGACTCATGGTCCTGACGGTTTCCTGTGCGGTCAGTTTCCTGAATCTATCAACCATTCATCTCCATGGCTGCTGCCTTAGTTAAGCTACCATGGCCTCTCATCTGCAGCCTTTGACTCATTTCTACTTCCGCTCTTGCCTGTTTGTCATCCATTCTCTCCTAGTGCTAGACACATCTTTATCAGAGTAAATGAAGTCCTGCAGAATGTTTATGATTTATGTACTTGAACAAAATCAAAACCCTGCAACAGGCTCACATGGACCAATGAGCCCTGGGAGATGTTATCTCTAGTGTGACCCTATTTTCTGCTACAGGCACCAACTCTGCCACGCTGACCTCCTCTTTGACACCAAGGTATTTCAAGCTTGCTCTCACCTCTGTGCCTCTGCACATGTCCTGTGTCTGATGCACTTCAGAATCCTACATGCCTCAAGTCTTTATCTCACTGGGGCCTCAACTCAAGTGGCATCTTCTCAGAGGTGTTTCTCTGACTGCCAGTGGAAGTGGGCAACTCATTCTCTGGTAAGTGCAGATCCTATAATTGATCTTGATCAAAAGGCTGAGAAGCGATTCCAAGTCACTCTCTCACAATGCTGTATTTACTTGCTAGCTCTCAGTGGTACTGGTTACTCTTATTCATGCAGGTCTGTCTGCTCCACTGACCTAACTTCCTTGAAGCATATCCATGGCACTAGGTTAATACCCACTGAATGAATAGATTATCTCTCTCTTATCAGTTGTAAGCAACTGATGTGCAGGAGGGCTCCAAACTGAGCAGCTTGCCAATTTATCCTTTGGTTCCTAATTTCCAACTTAAAAGCAGACATCACCTCCTTTTCAGTACCTGTCACCTAGCTCAATATTAAACAGGACCATCAGGGTGTGTGTGTGTGTGTGTGTGTACATGTGCCACGGTGTGCATATGGAAGTCAGAAGACAGCTTGATGGAGTCAATTCTCTCCATGTACCATGGTGGGCTCCAGGGACCAGACTTAGGTTGTTAGGTGTGGTGGCAAGTGCCTTTATCCATTGAGCCATCTTGCTCATAAGGCTCCACCTCAGTTTTTGCTAGGCTGGCCAGCTTTCCGGAGGGATCCTCCTGTCTCTGTGTCTCCAGTACTGGAATTACATGCAGCTTTTGACCTGTGTACTGGGGGACTTAATTCAGGCCTTCATGCTTCTGTGAAATCATACTTTGCTATCATTTCCCCAGCCCCTGTTTTGTCATTTTGTTTTTTAGTTTTTAGGGATTTTTTTAATTTTATTTTTTTGGACAGGGTTTCTCTGTGTAGCCCTGGCTGTGCTGGACTAGCTCTGTAGACCATAGACCAGGCTGGCCTTGAACTTACAGAGATCCATCTGCCCCTGCCTCCCAAGTGCTGGGACTAAAGCAGTGTGCCAGCACCTGGCTTGTCTGGGGTCTTATATACTGTTGCCAGCCAGTGTCCTGATAGATGTTTCAGACTAAACTCACCCACATCTAAATTTGGTTCAGTCACAGATCACCATTCATATATGCTTTCTGTTCACAAGCAGAAAATCTGGGAGAGTTATGGACATTTGGGGAATACAGATTAATGCTCAGTAGCTTTTGGTCAAAGACTGTTAGGAGAGGATACACTGAGAGGAAAAAGCTAAAAGCAGCCCCTGGTATCCTGGAAGAATCTCAGACTCAGAGCTAAATCTCAGTGTTGGTACAAAATGTTCCAAGGCTTGCAGGCCATCTGTATTACTGCTTTTCCACTGGACATGCATAGAGCATCTTCTTTAAACAGGTTACCTTGGAGCCCACAGGATCCCAAACACCCTTACAGCACACACTACATGAGTCTTGCATGTTCAACAATTCCAATACTCTACTTGCTTTGGTTTAACCATGATAGCATTCAGTTTGTTGAGATCAGTCATGGAATTGTCCCTGCTCTGTAACAATACCCAAGACAGAGGAAATAGGCTTCCTTAGTCTTTTCTGACAATTACCAAATGACAGACATCCTACAGTGGTTTCCTTCTAGAACCATTTTACTGAGATGCCCTATGATGAATAATAGGCCAGGTTAATTTGACTCCATGGCTTTGGCACAGTACATCCTAAACACTACCGTGCCCCAGCTTAGTTCATCCATCTAGTTAGTTAGTCTATTCACGGTGGATCTCAATCGCTTCCCTCCAAACCTCAAGTGTGAGTTCCTGGAAGACCCACCCTACAGGTTTTTCCAAGCCTGACATCTGACCTTGGTGAAGGGCAAGTATCAGGTTGCTTACCTTGGGTGTAATTTCCATGGTCCCTGAACCAGACACGGTATAGCGAGAGCCCACATAAAGGGAGCCCATCGGAGGAGGCTTGTGTATTCGCACAAACTGGAACTTCATTTCTTCATCATCTATGGCCTAAGGAAGATAACAGACAATGATTTCTTCTCTACATAATCTCATCAAATAAGGTGAGATGTTGGTTCTTTTGTGTGTGTGCACGGAAGTGGGGGTGAGGGTGGTGGGGATGGAAACAAAACCTCTGCAGCCCTTTTTCCCATGTACTGAACAGACCTTCCCACTCTAGATTGTTCCATGTTCACAGTGGTCATAGAGCTGCTGACAGAGAAGAAGTGGGAGGGAAAGGCTGCAGGTTGGGCGTGGAGCCTCCCCGTTCTTCTAATGCCATGAGAGAAGCCATAGAAGGCTGTGCAGAGATGAATGAAAGAGCAGTAGACACAGGGGAGACTTGGGGTTGAGGGAACCAGACCAAAGCTGAGCAGAGGACAGATCACTCATGCACACCAGGGTCCGCTCACTAGAGTCCCCCCCCCCCGACCCCCAGGAGAGGACCCCACTGGGATACTCTGACTGTGTCTCATGTTTTCCGTCAGCCCACCTTGGATGGGCCTTTGTGGTTCTCTGTGTTACCTTTCGAATAGTGCAGTCATTGGGGATGAGGTAAAGGTGGAATTTGTGCTCCTCAGCATGAGGTTGATGGTAGAGCAACGTGATAGAGGTGATGGGTAGGAATCGCCGGGTGACAGGGATTATTTTTAGCATCACTCCTATGGTAGAGAAGCTGGGTTTTTTTAGAACTGTGCAATGTGGCTTCACTTCGGCTGGTGTCTCAAAGACCACCCCGTGCTTCAGAAAGTGGGCCACTTGGAAATTTGAGGTGTCTTGAATTCCTGTCCAAGAATGAAGTCAAAAGACATAGATTAAGTGCCTGACTGAGCCAGGCTTGGGATAGCAGAAGCCCAGGACTCAGTCTCAGAGAGACCTTCTGGGGGAGGTATGAATGACCCTGACCTCTCAAAATCCTAATCCAGGGGAATGAATTTGGGCAGATCTTTAGGGAGGCGATGAGGACATGGATGTAGACCCCCTCTTGAATGGGCTTAGGAAAGAGTCAAGGGGCCTCTTCTGCCATTTGAGGGATCAGGTAGAAGATGCCATTTACAAAGAGAATATTCTTTTCTAGACACTGAATACACTAGCACCTTGATTTTGGCCTTCCCAGGAGACCTCAAAAGACATTGTTACCAGTTTGGTGAATTCATCCCTGTCCAAATCTGACCTGCAGCTCGGTAGGCTTTGGGTAGATTCCTTTGTACTCAAAGGCCCCCTAATTCCTTGGAGGAAAATTCCATTTCCTAGGCCCAGCTGATGGATCTCCAGTTCTCAAATGAAAGCTGGTGACCCCCATCTTCTCCATGCCTGTAGGGATGGTAATGGTTTTCACATGCTGACAGACTTTGGTACTAACAGTTGCTTGTTAGTTCACTTGGTACATAGTCTTTAGAAAAATCTCTTAAAATAGCTTGATTTATCCCATTTCCTGTTAGAAGCCAAAGGGATATGATATGTAAAAAGCACTTAAGAAATGCCAGTTAATATTGCTACTGATAGGTAGCCCGGACAGTGGAGAGATGTCCTCCCTTACCCTACCCCCTGCCTACCAATATCTGAGGCAGGTAGGAGAGCTGCCCCGGCCCCTCATTAGCTGCAGCACTTGGGAGAGTCTCCCTGCACCTTGCCTGGGCAACACGGTAGAGCTGACCGAAGGTATAAGTATGGGAGATCTGACCCTATGGACATGAAAGCAGGAGAACTGGCTCCACCCCTTGCTCATCAGCACAAAGGGAAAACTCAAACTCACCAAGACAGTGCAGGAGAGCTTATCTGTGGTGAGGACAAGGGAGAACTGAAGGGCTGACCAACCCTGAAAGAACCCAGGCCCAAAACCAGGGTGATGAGTTGGCCCAGCACAACATCCACCCCATCTGTGATCTGCTGGAGCATTGTGTAGGGACTGGTTCAGCAAACACGAAGCTGAAGGATCTCCTCAACACAGGGTACCAACAGGATATCTGAGAGGCGTTCCACTGAGGCCCAGAATTAACAGTGTAGCAGAAACCAGAGGCCTTGAACAAGACCAATGATTCTTTGTAATGAACACTTGCAAGTAAAGATACGTGGATGTGGTGTGACTCAGTGTGTCACACTGAAGCTTACATGATGAGACTGATTTTTTTCCACTTAAATTTTATTTAATTGCGGGAGGATGTTTCACGGGCAGAGAGCAGATATGAAGGGATGGGGGAGTTATCATGGGATGGAGTTGCATGATTTGGAAGACACAAAGAAAAATAAAAGGAGTTAAAATTATTGTAGCTGAGGACATCAGTTCCTACTTAGGGACTCTTTCAGGTAAGCTCTACCTCCATGACCCTCTGTGTCTCTCTAAGAAAGCCATGAGCTCTTTCCTCATCACCCCCTCTATCATCCTCCATTCTCCTATGTGACCGGAAAGACCTCCCACTACCACCGCCATCCTGCCTATCCTTCCCTTGGTTACCTTGGAGAGCCACAAAATGCGGCAGATACACAGTGTCGACAGCTCCCTGCTCAGCCTTGATGTCAAACAGAGGCCCAGCCACCATGTGACTCTGCTCCAGGGGAGTCTTGCCCAAGAACTGGCTCCAGGCACAGAATTCTATCTCTATGATCGTTGCCCTTGTCACCACAAAGCGAAGACCAGTGCTGGGCCAGTGATAGGAGCCAGCCATAGGGAACTGAACTCTAGAAGGTGCAGAAACAGACATGAGTTGGACAAGATCTGCTGACATGCTGGATGCAGATCTGATCCAGGGCTATGGACACACCGTCTTTAGTCAAATCTCTGAGTCCTGACTCTTTTGCTCTCTCTGTGTGGAGCCTGAACAAAGTATTAGCCTTCTGACTCCTAGTTTCCTTATCTGTAAATAGAGCCAATCTCGTAGACCTGTGGGTACTGAGTGGTCTAGAGCCAACTTACAGGTAACACACACCTAGTGGAGTTAAATGCTCCTGTGATGATGATGAAGGTGATGAAATAGGTGTGTGTGTGTGTGTGTGTGTGTGTGTGTGTGTGTGTGTGTGTGTGAAGTTCTGGGGGTCAAACTCAATACACTTATATGGTAGGCAAGAGTTCTACTGATTGGCTACATTTTCAGCTCTTGGTGTTCTTATTTATTTTTTATTTTTTAAATCAGGGTCCTTTGGGTTTCAGCCTCAGCGCCCCTCAGGATTCAGAACAGAATGCTTACAGGGAGTGAAAACTCGCTAAAAAGGTGTGAGGGTGAACAAATCAGCTCAAACACATTTTCTCCTCATGTCTCTTTATTCCTACCCATGTCTCTTTATTCTTCTAAAAAAGTTTCCACTCCCCACAAGGCTTCCAGTATATATATATATATACCTATATACACATACATATATATACATATATATGTGTTTATACACACACATATATGTGTACATATACATACATACACAATTAACAATTATTTAGGCAATAATAATGATACCAAGCAAGCATGCATTTCTTTTTTTTTTTTTAAAGATTTATTTATTATGTATACAGTGTTCTGCTGGTTTAGGAGTTCCTTCTGCCTTTGTGTTGCTTTCATTGGTTAATAAAGAAACTGCTTTGGGCCTGTTGATAGGGCAGAAACTTAGATAGGCAGGGAAGACAGAACTGAATGCTGGAAGAAAGAAGGGCGGAGTCAGAGATATGCCATGGATCTGCCAGAGACAGACACTGGGAATTTTACCCGGTAAGCCACTGCCATGTGGCGATACACAGATTAATAGAAATGGGTTAAATTAAGATGTAAGAATTAGTCAATAAGAAACTAGAGCTAATGGGCCAAGCAGGGATTTAATTAGTATAATTTCTGTGTGGTTATTTCAGGGCTAAGCTAGCCTGGTGGCCAGGATAAACAAGTGGGCCCTTCCCCTGCAACATTCTGCAGGTCACAAGAGGGCACTAGATCTCATTATGGATGGTTATGAGCCACCATATGGTTGCTAGGAATTGAACTCAGGACCTCTGGAAGAGCAGTCAGTGCTCTTAACTGCTGAGCCATCTCTCTAACCCCCGAACATGCATTTCACAGAACCACAGAAACAGATAAGTCTGACAAAGTAGGGGTCTGTTAGCTTACTTATGTCTCATAGCACCCAGGCATCTGATACTGGGAAGATTAGTTAAGGAGGGAGCTTTAAATTAGTATAGAATTCTAAGAAGAAAAGGGCTTTTTGTGTACTAACTACATTTCTTACTAATTAATAAGTGTAGGAAAAAGGAGAAGAAAACATGGCAGGGTTGTTGCACTCCCTGAGCACGTCTGCTGTTGCTTCCTTCTGCAATGGCTGGGAAAGCAGGATTGTGGTAACCATGGCAACCAGAGTGAGCCGCAGGAGGGAAGCAGATGGTACTTGTTTTGTATTGGCTTTTTTTTTGTTGTTGTTGTTTTGTTTTTTTCCTAATTGAATTAAAGGAAATTTCTTAGCACCAGATCAAAGTGAAAGGCATGGTTATGTAAAGTCCAGAGCCTGCCCTTTCTAGCCCCTGGCTAAGAGGCAGGGCGCTGTACCTGCTGGTACCCAGTTGAGAAGGAATTCCTTTCTCTGGGGCTGGTTTAGGGATTCAAATATTTTTCCTGTATCTCTAGGTGTAAAGTCACAAACAGTTAATTTCCTAGACTAAGCTCTGGTGTCAAATGAAAGCGAGATAAAGGTAAGTACAGTGCATTGGTAGCTTGTTAGGGTAGAATAAAGGCCAGGAGGTTACACTCTCCTGAGTTGGCTGTTAGAGAATTCAGGGCTGCCAGGTCATGCTTATCAGTAAGGGCAGACTTGCTCTCTCCTGCTCAGTCAGTGCCTGTCTTTGGAGACCAAATGTGGTCTATTTGCAACATTTCTCTCCTTGTCAGATGTCCTTCCATAAAGGATGATTGTGGGAGACTAACTTTATGTAGATTTGACTGTGAGAACACAGGTTTTTTGAGTGAATGCTTTCATACCAGGGCCCCACGCTATGGGATAGATAAGGTCGTCCAGTTACCATACGGAAGGGGGTTACGTTCAATAATTAGTGCACCGCTGAGGCTTTTTGGGAAAAATCCCACTGTGGAAAAGAGGGTGCTATGGTTGCTATGACTTCACAAGGGTTTACAGAAATGACAGGGACTATTCAAAAGACAAGTATTTCCGGAGCCTTGCCAATCAGGCTTCCTTCGCTGGAACACTCCTGTGAGTTAGTCTAGAGAGTTGTCAGCTGTACTTCCCACTGCGTGGTCTTGTGGGCTGTAGCAGTTTTTAAAAAGTGTATTTCTTTGTAAGGGGCTAAGGCTGGAGAGATGGCCCAGCAGGCAGAGACACTTTCTGCCAAGCCTGAAAATGCTTGTGTGTGCTCACACAAACCCACTAAATAGAAATGAGCATATGTTAGAGCATATGTTACTATTAGTGATAAATTTTTGGCTTTGAAACAACGCTTTACTGGGACTTTTAGTGACTTTCTCAAAGGCTCCCCATTTGGTGATTGGCAGGTGGACAAGAGGCAGTTTCCAAGGGAGGAAGTCAAGAGTGACAGTTCCTCCAGCTGAGACAAGTGAGCATCACCATGTTGGAGGAAGGTAACAAGTTATGGAAGCCACAGTCTCTCATTATTCATGGGACTATGAACCCTAGAGAGCAGGGCCGCTGTGTTCATTCTGTGCTCGTAGCTTCTAGTAGCTTCATGGCACACAGTGGTTGTTAGCTGAACAGGATCATTAGGACACAAGGGTTTAAGTGAAAGTTAAGAGACTTGACAAGCCAAACATAAATTAATTGCATTGCAATTAAAATAATCACCTGTAAAAAAGACATTTCATGTCCTTGAACAAATGTAAACCCAGGGTGTGGTCTGTTTAATTGAAATGAAAGCCTGCCAGCTCTGTTAGATGCAGTGCCATGCTGGCTATGGAGGACCTTGTTTGAGTTTTGGAGGGATTCTTAGTGAAATGTTTATGGAGAGATCACCAGACACAGTAGACTTAAAATGCTGTAATAGTAACGAGAGAGACTGAATGAGAGTGGTTGAAAAGAATCTGGCAAAGCTAGGGAACAGGATGAGGAAGCATTTTGCTCTCTACTTATGTCAATGTTTGGAAACATTCACCTCTAAGCTTAGTTTTCCACTGTAAAAGGGACACGCCCACTGTCTCAGCCCTGCCCCTGCCCGCTGGCCTGGTAAGGAGAGGGGCCATGCTATGGGAGACTGGTTTGTGTTCTGTCTTTGGAATCCTTTGTGGGGACTGGAATGGAGAAGGCTGGCTCACTCACCGGTACAGGTTCCTTTCACTGTCAACCACCTCAGTAGCCAGAGGTCCTGTGCTACCCCAGAAGCCATCTTCAATCTTAAGAGACGCGATGAGCTGGTCTCGCGGAAAAGAGTGCTGCACGGCTTCTTGCTTTGGAGCTTCCTCTGGAAGAGGGAGAAAGTGGTCACGCTTTATCATCCAGGCATGTCTCTCCAGCCTCCATCTCCTGCTAGACTAGGGCTAGGCTCTTCCTGAGACCTGGCTCCAGCCGGGAATGCGTCTGCTGTCTCTGTCCCTGCTCCGGGGGCTTCTCTGTTTCTTTCAATTTTCTCTCTCTCTCCTTGTCAGCCCTCCTTCTTCCCCTTCCTTCCTGCATCTATCTCCTTTTTTCTTGTTTTCACAGCTTACCTTCTGAGGACCACCCCCAAACCTTGGCACCTGCTTCTGCCTAAGGTCCTGCCTCCTTCCCTGTGGCCCATTGTTCCTCTCTCCAGCATTTCTTCAGAGACAGGTTGAAAGAAGATGGCTGGGCAGGGCCGGATAGGTGAGTTCCAGGCCTTACCCTCTGACAATGGCCATGGTTCCCTGGTGTAGAGTCAGAAGCATAACCCAGACATGTGTGAGGCATAGCACTGGACCCTGATGCTGCGAGAGAAGAAAGCAGAACATCCTTCCTCTAGATTCTTAGTGTAAAATGTTTTGCAAGAAGGTGTTTCTCTTTTCAGTAACCTGTTTTGCCCCATATCAGAGACAGAGTAGAGATATGATGGTCCCATCCTGATGCTTCAAGTATGGCCCCTTCACATACCTAACTGTAGTTTCTGTCGCTTGAGTGAGGATGGGCCTGCACTCGTTTCTCCTTCATCCAGATCCGGAGTAGAGACCTTCACAGGTGATTTCCTATACACAGAGATGTTCTTCTTCTTAGATGTCAGGGGAAACTAGGCCTGTCTATAAGACATCCCCAACTATGATCTAACTCATCTGAACTTGAACTAAGGCACATGACTCTTCTCTAGGGCACGTCTCTTTAATCTCCCTCTCACAGATCTATCTAGGTCCCCATGTTAGAACTGATATCATCTTGATCCCCGTTTTTAAAAAATTATTTATTGGGCTGGAGAGATGGCTCAGTGGTTAAGAGCATTGCCTGCTCTTCCAAAGGTCCTGAGTTCAATTCCCAGCAACCACATGGTGGCTCACAACCATCTGTAATGAGGTCTGGTGCCCTCTTCTGGCCTGCAGACATACAGACAGAATATTGTATACATAATAAATAAATATTTAAAAGAAATTATTTATTTATACTTTTTATGTGTGAGTGCTTTCCACGAATACCTGCATGCTGATGCCTGGGAATGGCTCTCCTCTGCTTCTTAGAAGAAAGCAGGAAGTTCTTAGCAAAGTGCAAAGGCGTTGCCACAGCCCTGTCACCCTCGAGCCCCAACTATGCTGCCTTTTTTCCTGATCTAGACTAGTGGCTTTCAAATTCAGTGTGCGTGGATGTCACCCGGATGACCTGCTAAATCACAGATCCTATTGACGGAAGCTTGTTCACTCCTAGATTCTAAATCAATTGGTCTGGAGTGGGCTTTGAGAAGCTGTGGCTCCTTTGTAATTTTATGTGTATGATTGTCTGCACATGTGTATGTGCAGCTCATGCGTGCCTGGTGACCACGGAAGAGGGCCTTGGATGCTCTGAACTGGAGTTGCAGATGGTTGTGAACCACCATTTGGGTGCTGAGAACTGAACCTGAGTCCTTTTTAAGAGCAGAAAGTTCTCTAACCAGTGAGCTTCCCAATCCTAAACTGCCATGGCCCATGATATAATATAGCAGATGACAATTAATAATTCTCTGATGGCGGAAGCTCATTTCAAGTAAGGCTTACAAGGCCACGGACTCTGAGTACTGTTTGCTTCTGTCTGTAATTTAACATGTGCAAAACCAGTTGTGAAATCTCCTCAATACCTGTACTTTAATGAGAGAGCTCATGATCACCTCTCAATCTTGTGGGCATTTATTCTGTGGACTGTCTAAACGATGACCCCTCACTAAGCTGTATTACTTACTTTATATTTATAATGTTAACTTGCAAAGAGTTTGATGAATAAATTCCATACAAGGAATTTTGACAGTAGTCAGGAATTTTAATTTCCTGAGAACTATTTAAATTCAGAGCTTAGGCTGACATAAGAAAAACGGTTGCATCTCCCCAACTCTAAATGACTAATTTAAGGTTTCAAAGTAAACCTTTAGATTAAGACCAGGCTGCCTTGCTAAGGGATTTTAGAATATACACTCGCAGAAATAGCAGTCTAGTTCACAGGGACATACTGAGCTCTCTGGATAGGTTGTAAATACAAAAGAGTCCAGGGATTTAGCTGGGAAATGATTTAGGCCTTGCATCCATTCCTGACCTCAGTTTGAAAACATGTTTTCACTGGCCAAGGCTACAGAAAATGACTTGACTCTGTAATGCCCAATGAGGACTGTAGATGTTCTCAGGTAACCAGAAGTTACACACACGCCTTTAATCCCAGCACTTGCACTTGGGAAGCAGAGGCAGAAGAAGGCAGAGCTCTTTGAGTTAAGGTCAGCCTGGTCTACACAGCAAGTTCTAGTTCTGCTAGGGCTACACAGAGAGACCTTGTCTCAAAAAACAAACAAACAAACAAAGAGAAATAAGTTACAGACAGGATAAGAAAATATATTTCAAGATTAAAAACACTTTTGCCAGGTAGTGGTGGCACATGCTTTTAATACCTTTGGCAGTCTGAGTGAGAGGTCTTCCATAATCTACTGCACTGAACACTTGGTCTCCAGCTGGTGGTGCTGTCTGGGCGCTGTGGCCTTGCTTCAAGGAGTACATCACTGGGAGGTGGGCTTTGCGGTTTCAAAGACTCTGACTGTTCCAGCTTTCTCTCTGCTTTCTGCCTGTGGGTTAAGATGTGAGTTCTCAGCTGGGCAGTGGTGGTACATACCTTTAATTCCAGCACTTGGGAGGCAGAGGCAGACAGATCTCTGTGAGTTTGAGGCCAGCCTGGTCTACAAGAGCTAGTTCTGGGATAGGCCTCAAATCTACAGAGAAACCCTGTCTCAAAACACCAAAAGCCAATCACTTCTATTTTTAGTGTGTTATTAGTGAATGCCCTAGAGAGCTCATATTAAGGCAAACCTAGGTTCCTACCAAAGCATTTACAACACAGCTCTTTTTATATAAACACTTCTAGAAAGCCTGGCATTTCCGCTAAGCACAAAATAATAGATAATGTAATGAATGATTCTTTATTTCCAGCTGCAGTTTATAATCAACTAAGAAGTTGAGATTTATTAATTGTATGTATCAGGATGGCTAGGTTTCTTATCATTTACTGAAGTGCAACCTTAAAATGTAACTCCTGTTGATTATATATAGCCATTGAGATAAAGGAGAGCCTGAAGTCATCATGAGAAAATGGAGTCTAGATGAGAAAAGAGAGTAAATGAGAGACTAAAGAAAGTTACCATTAGAATGCAGACGTTCCTTTCCTAAAGACCGTCAAACAAAAAGGTTTCCTGAAGCCTTTGCTACGTTCCTTTCCTAAAGACCGTCAAACAAAACGGTTTCCTGAAGCCTTTGCTACTCTGTGGCATTTTCTTTACCACCCTGAAGCAGCCTTGAAAGCTGGTCTTCCAGCTGCAATACCAAACGTCAGTGTCTTTGTCTCCCATCTGTGGTGACTTCATTGCTCCGGTGTTCTGGGTTCACTGTGGAACTGGTGGCTACTTATGACACTATGCTATGCACAAAGGACTCTCCACTCATTTACTTTTTTTTTTTTATAATCTCCATTTCCCATGGAGGGACTTAAGAGGCAGGTTATATGATCCCATTTTCACCAAGAACCAAATGAATAAAACTAACACAAATGAAATCAAAACAACCTACCTCATGATAGTTGCTATGGTTTCCTGGTTTCTTCCTGTTTTGATTTGTCTCTCCTGCCACCCCAGGGCCATTTTCTCATCTCTGAGCTCTAGCCCTGACCTAGGATCTCAGTTTGGGCCACTCCTTACCGTGTGCTCTGGACGAGCAGCTTGGGATTCTCTTCCTTCAGAGCCTTAAGTTCTACCATCACCTGGTCATTCAGAGAGCTCGAGTCCAGCCTGCAAGCACAAGGGAAGCCATATTGTCCTGGGATACACTAGGGAGCATGAAAGACTCTGTCACAGTCAGGTTCCTCAGAATTAGTTCTGAGATAAAGCCAGTGAGGGAGCTTATTGGGGTGTGTTCCTTGACTAACACCAGAATAGAGAGGAGAGGCCAGTCACCACGGAGAGAGACAGATGTGGCCATGATGTGGTGTCAGTGAGGTCTTAGCCAGATTGCAGGCATATCTGAAATGGGATGATGGCCTTTGGGGCTGTCTAAAGTTGAGTTTTTATACTCCTACATGGGTCAGACTCCGGATATGGACCATCCTAGGAAGGGAACATGACTGGATGAGGTGGTTCTTATTGGCAGCCATCAGCATCCCAGTGGTTGGGGTTGTGGCTTTGTCACAGAAAGGACTCTGGACAGTTGTTTAAAGAGAATATAGAATATCTGTGTTCTAGGATTTTGTGAGAATTCCTTCACCCACATTTTAGTGCTGAAGATGGAAGTCTTGTTCTCACACATGAGCGTTCTCTATTGAGCCACACCCCAGACCCTGGATTGCATTCAGGCTTCAAGTTCTAGAGCTCCTGTTGGCTTAGGAGAAATGCCACCTTCCCTGGGCCTCCATGTCCATAACCAGGGACACCATCACTCCCTCTCAGCCCGCTGTGAAGCAAGACAAGCAGGAGAGGAAAGAGTCCCACACTTGTGAGAGGCTGTGCAATGTCACCATTCCAGTCTTATGGGCTGTTCTCTCTGGGGAGGGAGATGGAGCCATTGATGCTGAAGTTTGTTCCTGTCTCCAGTAGGGAAGGAGGCAGCTAAGATTTGACAGGTCACTGAGATGTGTCCTAAAGCAGACCTGTGGCAGAGCCCCCCCTGGAAAGGGTCATCAGCAGGCGGGAGAGAGTTGGGGTGTAAGCTGGATGGGCCATTTCCCACAGAGAGGCCAAAAGCAGACTTTTCAGCACCATAGCCTGCTCTGACTGTTTCTTTGGGTTTCAAAGTAGAAGTGCTGTCCTGGGTGGGGAAAGCCACAGGGCATAGCCTACTTGGACCCTCTGTCAAATGTAAGTACCAGAGGACTCTGGCCAGAAATTATAGGGAGTGTTCCTCTAGCTCAAGCTGGGGAAGGGAGAGGAACCTGGATACATGGAAGTAGAGAAGGACATTGCACGCATTTCTAGTTTGCATGTAAATCTATGGCCCGGAGACAACTCCATTTCAGCCACACAGGGCCGACTCAAGCCCCTTCAAGGCTCTAAGTCTGCCCAGGTTGTTGGCCTCCTTTTGTTTCAGGGTCTCCCCTACTCTGATTTATTGACTGTCCCCAGGTTGGCCTCAGAGAGGCCCCCATGGACCCTTCAGTGCAGTCTCCCCTCCCACAGCACTACACTCTCACAATACTATTGACTCCGCAGCCTCCAGCAGAGCGTGTCAATGCTGGATCACGTGATCACAGGTGATCTATATCTGTCTCTTCCCACCCAGCTTCCGAAGGACAAAGCCATGTGTGCTTGTGCCTGGATCCCTCGGACCTGGACCAGTGCTGGGCACACAGGGGGCCTGATATGAATGAATGAATGAGTGACTGACTGAGTGAATGAGCTACCATGGAGTGAAGTGAAACCCTGTGAACATGTGGCCTCCTTTTTAGCTTTCTTTTAATTTATTCTTTGTGTCTTTCACATCACGCATCTCGATTCTATTCATTTCCCCATACCTTTGTATCTATCTTCTGTCCTTGCAACCTCCCTCTGAAAATAGAATAAAAATTTTAGGGCTAAATAAAAAAAGGAAAAATAAATCTCATCATATGTACTTTAGGGTGACACAGTGAGTCACAATTTACCCTTTTATCCATACATCTTTACTTGCAAGTGTTCATTGCAAAGAGTCATTGGTCTGGTTCAAGGCCTCTGGTATCTGTTGCACTATCAATGCTGGGGCCTCACTGGGACTCCTCTTGGTTATCATGTTGTTGTTCTGTGCTGTGGAGACCCTGCAGTTTTGTGTCTACAGGACCAGTCTCTTCACATGCTCCAGTAAATCACAGATGGGATGGATGTTGTGCTGGCCCAGCTCATAACCCTGGTTCTGGGATGGGTTCTATCAGAGTTGGTCAGCCTGTCAGCTCTCCCTTGTCCTCACCACCAGGGGGAGCTCTCCAACTTGCCCTGGCTAGTCCACCTCTTGCCTCAACGAGCAAGGGGGTGGGGCCATTTCTCCTGCTTTCAGGCCCTCCTGATTGGCCCTCCCTTGTCGATACCTACACCATCAAGGTCAACCCTCCCACTGAGTGGGGAGGGCACCTCTCCCAGCCCTCCTGGAAGAGGAGGGGAGGGACCAGATCTCCCATGTTCACCTTTACAGGGCTGGCTCATCTGCACCCCAGTCAAGAGGATGAGCTCTCTTGTGCCGCCCAGGTGAGGTTCAGGGCTCACTTGCCTGAGTGCTGCCAATGGTAAGGGGGAGGGACAGCTCCCTCAGCCACCAAAGGTGGTAGGGGCAAGAGTGGAGGGCATCTTTCCTTTGCCCTCACTACCACATGACAGATGAGGGGGCTGTGGATCCCATTCTTCCATCCTCAGGGCTTAGCACACCTCTGCCTCCACCAATAGGGTCAGTTCTACTGTGCTACCCAGGCGAGGAGCTGGGCACACTTTCCTAAGTGCTGTAGCTGGTAAGGCGAAGGGTCAGCTTCCTTGTTCCCTTGTCTGTTGCAGACAGCAAGGGGTGAGGGGCAAGGAGTAAGGGGGGCATCTTTGCCCCAACCATGCCGCCAACCTGCAGCCTCATTAAGAAATATGATTCCATAGTACCCGGCTGCCCAACTATCATTATATTTGTTTATACATATGTATATTTTATATCATTACAATATGCAAGGAGGGTATGACGCTACCACTTAATAGATGAGGAAATTAAGTTGGGAAACACAGGGTCTTGCTAAGCCGTGGTATAAGTGGCAGAAGCTGGTCAGGAGCCAGGCTGACTATGCATTATCTGTCCCTTTCTTTTCCTTATCTGATCCTCTGGTACCCCATCTTCTGCCCTCCCTGGTCTCCTGGTAGAAGAGATCCCCCAGGGTCTTACCGCAGGATTCTGAGGTTGCAGGCAGGATTCCTGAGCCCCTCACACAGCAGCTTTACCCCTTGGTCGCCCAGGTCATTCAGCTGCAGGTCCAGCTCAGTCAGGCTGCAGTTGGTGCTCAGCACAGAGGCCAGATCCCCACAGCTGCTGGCTGTGATGCCACAGCTGACCAGCCTGCAGGGGAGATGCACCCTGTCATTTGCTGAGAGTTCACTCCTCTGGATAGTGGGGACTGGGCCTCCCTTTCTGGTACCTGCAAGTCCTCATTTTTTTGTTTTTTAAATATTTATTTATTATGTATACAACATTCTGTCTGTGTGTATGCCTGCAGTCCAGAAGAGGGCACCAGACCCCATTACAGATGGTTGTGAGCCACCATGTGGTTGCTGGGAATTGAACTCAGGACCCTTGGAAGAGCAGGCAATGCTCTTAACCTCTGAGCCATCTCTCCAGCCCCCTTCAAGTCCTCATTAAGGGGAAATTGGGGCTTCCCTGGCTTGTAGAAACTTTCAAAGTTTTAGTTTTCCTTTTGCACCTAAGTTATCCCTGAGGATACAAACCTACATTGCATTAGCTACATTGACCTAGCTAAATAACCAGAGACAATGAATATAGGATGTTTAGGTAGTTTCAATATTAAGGTCATTGATAGGCCAGACAATAAACCAATGAGTTTCTTGCATAAGAATAGAAGGTGAAAGGGAGTATGGCAGGTTTGTTTGGACCTGAGAGCCTGTCTTGGGCTCCCCAGTACATATTGGGATCTGGAGTATGTGTTGCTCAGGCCAGGGCTTTGTCTGCAGCTGGCATCTGTGCTACATCTCTGTCTTCCCATGTCTTATCAGGGTGGAAAATTCAATGTGTCTCGTGGCTGAGCTTCAGGATAAATAGTATATAATTAGAGGTTTACTCCTCTGTTGCTGTTGGGTCAAGGAGGGCCAAGCGCTGTGAAATCCACAGCATCCCACTAGTGTGTCCCAAGAACCATGCGAAAGTGAAATAGTCTATGAAGACATAGACTAGAGCATGATCTCACTTGTCATGTGAAATCCTAGTAAAGATGGAGTCCATAGAGTAGAAGGTGGTTGTAAGGGCAGAGAGTAGGAGGACGTGGGGATGCCATTCCCTGGGCCTGGAACTTTTTTCCCTCTGCTTCATTTAGCCTCCTCCTCTGTGCTCCTCAGTTCTCCTGCAGCCACTCTCTCAGGATGTTTGTTCCACTGGAGCCCTCATGGGCCTGTTGTTAGCAATAGCTAGTGGGGGTCCTCACTGAATGTTAGTCTTTCAGGATCCCCAAGAAATCCCATTTGTTTGTTTCAATAGCAAGTCTGGTATCATGGATGTGGTCAAATGAGTTCAGTGAATGTTTGATGAATCCTAAGCCTCAACCTAGACTCAGTTTTTGCCTTTGTTCTCCTGCCATTCAGGGGAGAATCCAGAGCAGACTCACCACAATGTCTTTAGGTGACATTTAGCATGTCTCAGCATCCTAAAGAGACTCTGCACTGCGGAGTAGCTCATTGGATTCCCACTTAGGTCCAGCTCCTCCAGGCTTCCTGTGAACTCAAGAGTGGAGAAGAAAACCTGCCAAGTGGCATTAGTGACTGGGGTCCACCTGGACCTGAGGGAAAGAAAGGGAAAGGAGGGATGTGAACTGCTTATGCATATTCTGAAGTGGACAGACACACACTGCACAGTGAGAGGCCTCTCTGGAGGTTTGAACAAGAATGTTCCCCAAAGCTCACAGATTTGAATTCTTGGTCACTAGGGAGTGGTACTATTCAGAGGTATGGCCTTGTTGGAGGAAGTGTGTCACTGTGGGTGGGCTTTGGGGTTTCAAGTGCTCAAGCCTGACCCAGTGTCTCTCTCTTCCTGCTGCCTTCAGGTCTGGATGTAGAACTCTCCGGTATTTCTCCAGCACCATGTCTGTCTACATGTACCATGCTTTCTGCCATGATAATAATGGACTAAACCTCTGAGTGGAAGCCAGCCCCAAGTCAATGTGCTTTCTTTTATGAGTTGCTGAGGTCATGGCATCTCTTTACAGCAACAGAACACTGACTAAGACAGTTTCAATGTGCCATCCTCAGGACAGACCAACCTCTATGCCTACTCTTCTTCTCCAACATCTTGGTCCTTTACCTTATCTACGGTCTTTAGCATAGCATGCTGTGTGCTTGTTTTGTGTTCTGTTTCCATTTCAGTCTAGGTGTTCCTTGAGGGCATGGGCAGATGGGTGGCATCTTTTTTTTTATACCAGTGCCTAGTACAGGACCTGGCACAGAGGAAGACATTGATAGTTCAGTCTTATTTTCTTTGACATGTATATACCTGTCTTCTTTTGTTATAGAATTCTAGAGTCACAGTGGCCATAAAGATAAGCTGGAGATGGGAAGTGGAACATTCAGGAGAGGTGGTTGTGGGAGATTCTGTGATGAAATGCTGAGTATGGTCATAAACATGATGACTATGTTGGTTTACATGGACCCCATCCCCTTCCAAGAATAGAAGAGCACAGAGAAGTTCCATGGAGAGAACAAAGGGAATGTCTTGGGAGAGGATGTCTGCAGTCTGAGGAGGAGAGAATTCTGGGAGTGTTGGAGTAGACTCTGCCCTGTATAACTCCTGTTTGATTAATTTCTCGATTTTTACATACTTCTCCATCAAGCTTATTAGTTGCAGGCTTCAGTTACTCAAGGTTTACACCACACTTCAGCTATTTCTGTTCTCTAGTTCAATACTTCAGTTAACTCTTCGATCTAGTGTGTTCCAATTTGTTACCAAGGTTAATCCATCCCACCACCTGCACAGTGTATAGAGCCATGCAGAGGTAACTAGACAGCTGCCCGCACACCAAGCTGTGCCTAACTCAGTCTACTTAGTTGCAAAAGCCTGGACCACAGGGGTCCCTGCTACTCGGAAGACTCATGAGGATGACAAGATATTGTAGTGTACTTACTTGTCATTTTGCCTGCAGAAGCCCCTCTTCCCACCCCACCTCCATTCCCTGGGGACTCCACTTCTTGGTGCTGATCCTAGATCCCTTATCTCTTTCCCACAGACTTCCAAGCCTTACATTCTAGCTTAGCCCCACGTCTTTATGTCAGCAGTGACCCACAGAAATGCTTTCAACAGGGATCCAGTGGCCACACTGGGCTGGGACATAGGTAGACAGCTTTTACTATTCTTCCTGTCCTCCTTGCTAGTCTCTCCAGACTTAAGCATGTCTGCTTCTCCCACCCCACCTCCATTCCCTGGGGACTCCACATCTTCTGTGGCCAGTAGCCCGGCAGGAAGTATAGGTGGGACATCCAGACAGGAAGCAGAGGCAGGTCAATGAGAACAGGAGAATTCTGGGAAGAAGGAAGCTCTTCCCACAGTCCTGGCCCAGCCACCGACCAATCAAGATGTAACTGCCTTGCTGAAAAAGGTACTGAGCCATGTGGCTAACACAGATAAGAATAATGAGCTAATATAAGTGTAAGAGTTAATAAGAAGCCTGAGATACTGGCCCAATCAGTTTACAACTAATGTAGACCTCTGTGTGATTTCTTTATGACTTAACAACTGTGGGAACTGGGCAGGACAGAAACCCCAGTCAACATAGAATAACGGGCTAGTATAAGTTATAAGAGTTAATAAGAAGCCTGAGCTAATGGGCCAATCAGTTTACAACTAATGTAGACCTCTACATTAGTAATCTACATTACTAATTAGTAATCTCTACATTAGTAATTACAACTAATGTATGATTTCTTTGGGACTTAATGATTGCAGGAACTGGGAAGGACAGAAAACAACAACAACCCTTACTAAGACAATAATCAAATAAAAATGAGAGTCATTTCACTAAGCCACCTTCATGTGTATATATGTGCATGTGTTATATAAATATTCTTTGATTTCATTTATTCTCTTTAACCCATTTCTTCCTCTCCTCTCCTCACCACTTTCCTGTTCTCTAGTACTCACTCTACTACATTTAAATCAATATTTTATTTCTAAGGTGAGTTTTTTCCCCTCTGTTGCTCAACTTTTCAACTTCTAAATTCAAAAGTCTAAATTTTAAAGTCTCAAACTTCTAAATTCCAGCAATTTTCTAGCTTTGGCCTCCCGAGTAATGGAATGACAAGCCTATGCTGGCAAGTCCAGCTGGAATGTGGGTTTTATCATGAGAAGAAGCTTGAAAATGTGGAAATAGAAGACTGAAAACAAACCCAAACCCAAACCCAAATCATTATTCCTCCGAGACTCTTTCCCTTTCTGGTCTGCTTGTGTCAACATTCTCTTTCGCGGTGCCTTGCTTGTGGGTGACCATGGAAGGTGTCCTGCCAGATGGCAATTAGAGTACAGGACTGCTTTTTCTCCCAAGTTGTGAGGTCTTTAGGGTAGCAGTTGTATTTTTTTTTTTTTGGTGATTGGGCCTGTCATAAAATAAATGCTTAATGAATATTTTTGGAATGACTCAAGGAGCGTCCGATATTGAGTAACCACTGATATTGAGTACTCACTACGGAGGCATGGGACCTGGAAAGGGACATCCACCATGCTGCTAAGATTAGAGAGTGGATAGGGACTATTTAGGATGAGTACTAAGGGCCATAGTGCTACACACACACACACACACACACACACTGATGGGGAAGATGAGGACCACGGTCATTGTCTTGGGGGAGAAACATTGCCTGCTGAAGCTGAATGATCAGTTTCTCAGAGACAAAGCGTGTTAAGAGGGGGGAGTAGAAGCTGTGGGCCCTCTGATGCTGCTGGAGGGATGCTGCTGGAGGGTCCAGGCAATGTGAAGGTCAGCATAACAATGAGCCTGTGTAGCAGAGAAGATAGTCCTTACATAGTCAGAGGGGAAGACAGCAGTTCAAGGCCCCATCAACAGTCAGGCATGGAGGATCCTAGGTGAATTAGACAGGTGGTCAGATTGGTGGCTAGGTGTCCCTGGAGACTTCTATTCTATACCCTCTGAGAGTGTTCCTGCTGCTCAGAATGTGTGGCCTCATGCCACACACAGAGAAGGTGGAGGGAGAGGTATGTATAGATACTCACAGAATCAGCCTGGGGACCCTCAGCTCTTGTCCCAGCCGTCCACCCCCATCCAGCTGAAGTGCCTTCACCTGGCGGCAGAACTTAATGCAGAAAGCAACCACCATAAGCTCCACATCTGTCTGGATCATCAGGTGCTTCACATCTGCCTGGAATCCTGGATGCGCCATATCTGTCTGGACATGAACCCTTGATCCTTGAAAACTGTGCATCGCCCGTGTCAGGAGCTCCTCATCCTGAATCTCATACAGACAGTGGAGCAATCCAAGCGAATACGAGTGTTGTTGGAGGTGGTCTTCCTCCAGGACCCTCTTCAGTAGCTCCCACCTCCTCTCCAGAGGCAGCCAGCAGGCGACAATGTTCTTCATTTCATCCATTGCCTGGTCACTCAAAAGGCCACACAGGAAGCGCATGGTGGGCGCCTCAACCAGGTCAAGTCTTCCATAGACTTCTATCAGCTTTTCTACAGCTTTAAAGTTTTCACAGCTGTCCTTTTCCTCTTCGTAACTCAAGACACAGGACATCGCTGCAAAGAACTCCTGGAGACACGGGTGGGCAAAGCTGTAGTTGGTAGAATTAGGCTGCTTCTGAAGGACACCCCTTTTGATGAAAGTGGAGATGACAGACCCAGGTACCTTCTGGTTCCTGAGGTCCTTAAGACTGAACAGACTCCTTTTTCTGCAGATACCTTCAGCAGCCAGTGAGCTGAGCCCTCTGAGCTGGGACCCCAGGGATTGAGCCGGGAGAGCCTGGGAAAGGTATTTCAGGTAGAGGGCTGTGGTGGTCTGTGAGGTCAGTGAGAGGTCTCCCCTATGCTCCATCTGCTGTTTCAGGCAGGTGCAGACTATCCAGGACACCCAGGGCACCAGGCACAGGGTCAAGAGCACTGGGTTTGATTCAACCAAGGTAAAAGCTGTAATTGCTTCTCTTTCCTCTGCAAAGTATGTGTAGAAATATTCCTTCCGTCCAGACTCAGAGAAGCCCAGGACCTCCACCCACCGTGGCTGCTCCAAGGAAGGAATGAATGTCTGTAGTTCTGTGGTCCGAGCTGTGAGCAGCAAGGAAGCCGTAGGAAGTAAAGATTTCCCCAGCAAACTGCCCAGCAGTGTGTGCACTGGCTGTGACTGGCTCCAGTGCCGATAGAATTTAGGATTCTGCAAGACCCAGGCTGGCTCATCTATGCCATCCAGGATGAAGAGCAGCTTCTTAGAGTGAGTCAAGATCTCCTTTATGAGATCCATGTGGACATTCTCATATTTTGCTATGAGCTCAGCCAGACTCAGCTGCTTGCATTGGGCCAGCTCCCTGCAGCTGAAGTAGAAGACATGCTGGAAGTGATCCCTGTAGAGCTGGCCTTCCCCCCATGCTCTCCTCACCTGCCTGGCCAGCGTTGACTTCCCAATGCCAGCAGCCCCCTCTAATATGACTAACTGAGGCTTCTTCTGGCTACCTGGGCTTGGGTCAAATAAGTCTTGGATGGCAATCAGATGTCCTCTGTCTTCAATGTCCTGGTTCCCTCCTTCTCTCACCATGGACCTCTGGCCTCTGGGGCAAGATTTTTGTAATAGTAGCAGCTGTGTGTATTTTTGGAAACCTTCAGTTTCCCAGGTCTGTGTATGGTAAAGGCTCTCTCTTCTCTGGTTCTGGCATGTTTTTATTGCAGTTTCTAAGTAAGCAAAGGAAAGAAAGGACATAAAGTAATGGTGAGTTGTTCGTTCATTCATTTAGCCAACAACCAAATAAATTTAGACATTTTTAAAAATAGGGTGGGGGCATCATTATGTAGCCCTGTCTATCCTGGAATTTGCTATGTAGACCAGGCTGGTCTTGAACTCACAGAGATTGATCTTCCTCTGCCTTTCAAGTGATGGGATTAAATATGTGTGTCCCCATACCCAGTTTGATTTGGGCATTTTTTTTTGGGTTTCACAGTTCAAAGTGTGATGGTTAAGCTTTTCTTTTTTTAAGTTTAATTGATTGTGCTTAAGAAATCTATAAAGCAAAAATGCCTCTAACTGTAAGCCCCACTTGCCCATGGATCTAAGTTCTGTGAATGTAAGATAACAACCCACAGTGATGGCATCACTATAGAACCTTTGTCCAGCAACTGACAAAAGCAGAGGCAGAGACCCGAAGCAGAGCACTGGACTGAGCTCCCAAAGTCCAGTTGAAGAGTGGAAGGAGTGAGAATATGAGCAAAGAGGTCAAGACCGCAATGGGAACACCCATTGAGACAGTGTGTCTGAGCTAATGGGAGCTCACCAACTCCAGCCGGATAGGGAAGGACCCAGCATAGGACCAAACTAGATCCTCTGAATGTGGGTGACAGTTGTATGACTGGGGCAGACTGCAGGGCCACTGGCATTGGTACCAGGATTTATCCCTACTGTTTGTACTGATTTTTTGGAACCCATTCTCTCTGGATGGATACCTTGCTCAATCTAGATATAGTAGGGAGGGCCTTGGTCCTTCCTCAAAGCAATGTGCCTTTCCCTCTTGAGGAGTGGATAGGGGGTGGGGAGGGGAAGGTGGAGTGGATGGGAGAAGGGAAGGGAGTGGGAAATGGGATTGCTATGTAAAATGAAAAAAAGATTGTTTTCAAAAAATAAGCCATGTGTTTTCACTTCTGTAAACAATTATGGTTGCCTAACCCTAACCCTAACCCTAACCGATGAGCTTGATCACACATAGGTGGGTGGAATGCAGGCAGGAAGTACATCAGGATGTATCCTTGCCCCTGATTGGATGAAGGTAGGAAATATGTAGCCTTATGGGTGTTGCCTTTCTAAGTTTCTTTTCTTTTCTTTTCTTTTTTAAAAGAGTTTATTTATTATGTATACAACATTCTGTCTCCATGTATGCCCACATGCCAGAAGAGGGCTCCAGATCTCATTACAGATGGTTGTGACCCACCATGTGGGTGCTGGGAATTGAACTCGGGACCTCTGGAAGAGCAGCCAGTGCTCTTAACCACTGAGCCATCTCTCCAGCCCCCGCCTTTCTAAGTTTCTAACTAACGTATTGAGAGTCCCAGGTATAAACCTGGCCAGTATCCATTGTCCTGGCCAATATTTGATAAAGCTTGCTTCAAATTTGGCTCAAATACTGTGGTAGTGGTCTTATTCTCTCCTGGTGGCTTTAACAAAAGGACAGAAATGAGAGACAGTGGCGCACTACTGACTGGGTCCACATCACACAGGAAGTGGTAACACCTGAGGGCAATGGAGTGTGATCTTGGGTCAACCATTGCCAGAACTGGGTGTGTGTTGGGGTAAGAACGGGCCCTGAAGGGAAAGAGAAAGAGAGGAAGAGGGCTGGACTTCTACCAGCAATAGCGCATTGGGGGGAAGAAATCACTTTCCCACGCAGGAAGAGGCAAGGGTGTGGACTGCACCGAGAAGGGGAAGAAGCATGAGTGAGGCTAAATGCGGCATTGAAATAAGGAAGAAGCAAGGGTTTGGGTTGAGGTTAATGAGACTAAAATAAACCCATCTGACAAGAGCAATTTCAGCACCACAGAGCCCAGAAAGATCATTTCTGCCTTGTTCCTCCCACTTCTGAATTCTGGCTGCTTCTTTTGCAGCCCCCCACCCCAGGCTCCCATAGTGGGAGATGTTCTGCTGTCTCACAGAGCCATGCAGGGCTCTTAGCCCAGCTCACCTCTTGTTCTGCACCTGAACTTGGTATGTTTCTTTACAAAAGTTTTCTTTGTGGACATCTGGTCAGATGAAGATTGGTAGTCTGGGCTCAACCCTGCAGAAGCGAGCTGGCTGGAGGACTCCACGTTAGATGTGCTCGGGAAACTGAGGAATGAGGGGTCATGGGCTGTGGGAAGGAGAGAGTGGTTGGGTGTTTGTCAGGGAGAGGTGAAGGAGTAAGTCATAAACAATGCCACACCAGTTTGGAATTATGATTAATAGGGTGGTATTTATTTAAAGGGGAAAAAACTTACAGATCACCGTCAGCCCTCTGCGCAACCAGGAAGGGAGTCTAGTCGCCAGTGGAGCAGGAAGTGGAAAGAGAGAGGAGAGGGAAGTGGCCGCTTTTTTAAAGGGAGAGAGACCACGCCCCAGTGGGCTGGTATCTCAGCGGTGATAGGCTGGAGGAGTGGAAGGACCTCCCGTAACACCTCCCCCTTTTGTTTAAATAAGAGAGTTCTAAACCTACTATGAAATTATATACAATAAGTACAAATATCCTATTCTAACTAGCTTAGGTCTTGTATAATAAATAACTTGGCCAAGTCATGAGAGAAAGTAACTACATTTATATAGTCTTCAACCCCATCGAAGATCTGAGAAGGGAAATAATGTTACCTGGGTAATTAGGAAGTTTAATAAAACAACTTCCAAAGCATGCAACAAATCACAGAGACAACTAGCTACCTAGGCAATCACCCAAAGTCACATTAGCAGTGATGAAGCAACCAACTTTGGCTAAGGCCTAACATAACTGACATACCATTTTCAAAGGCAAGCAACTTTTCAAAACTATCTTACCCTGTCTTGGCAGGATATGACAGCCCTGTTTTATCCATTGATGCACGCTCTGTATCTTTGTCAGTGGTTGAGGTATGGGCATTTCTTTGCCCAAAGGCCAGTTCTGCCAAAAGGAAAGGCTCCAGGTGGAGTGTCTTTGGTGCTCAACATTCTCTCCGGAATAGAATGGTATTGCCAGGAGCAATTGTGTCTCACTACCACAAAACTCTGAGTTAGATTAAAGGCCATTTTCTACAGCTTTTTGAAGAAGTTGAAGATTATCTATCTATACTGAGTATAATCTCTATATATCTAAAGAACCTGATTAGTCTAATTATAAATGACAAACTTAGATGACTATTAGTCTATATAATTCTCAATATCTATCTAACTTAAAGACTAAGACAATAAACGACTGTGAAACAAATGAGGACAATGACCTCCAAATATAAACAATGTACAAATATACATTGCAGTAGGTAAATATATATCAATACACAAACATTATATAAGTATCTTAATCAGAGGTAGAAATGTACACTGCAATATGGTAAGTATATACAATATATATATCAATACAATATATGTCAATACATAAAAATGTTTTAAACAGAGGTAGAAACATGCATGCATACAATAGTCAATATAATTTAACTTTGTATCAATATACAAGAATCTATACCAATATATTTGTCTAAAAACAGTAACTCACAATTACAAATCTATTATCCCATCATCCCTCTTTTTTTTTTCAAAATGATCCCTGAGCTTATAAAATTCCTCCCCCAACCCTCAATCGTATACTAATTATAATCAACCCCTAAATGATGTCCCTAAACCAAGGGCAAACTTTACTGGGAGAGGGGACGTTGTCCTCTAGAATTACTTCCAGTTGTCATGGGGGCAACGTTCTTTCTGGGGGATCCTGTGAAAGTAAAATGATGGTTAAATTTCAAGATCAATGTCTTTTAAAATTGCCAATAGTCTCTGAGTATTTTGTGCAGGTCTGGCCAAAATGTTGTATAAGATGTGCACCATTTCAGCTAACCAAGTTGGAACTATCTTGTGCAGCTGGTACCCAAAGCAGGTCTTGTAGTAGCGCTATCAGTATCATGACGTCATTATCAACCAGGTGGAGTTGTTGTTATGGGGCCCCATCTTCTTCCTGGAAACTTCAAATGTCACTTCAGGAAAAACTCATTGTTCATCATGAAAAACTTAAACATTAATCATATAGACATATATAGACATATATATATATTCATTGAAAGACATGATAGATATATTCAATGAAAAGTATGATAGATATGAAGAAAAGCAAAGATGTTTTCTAAATTCATATTTCTTTCTGTCCCATATCATGGCTCTTGACATGAGACAGAAACTCCAGAAACTCTGGGTTTTTCTCTTACTAACAGGCTTGGAATTGGAGAGGGACTGAGCCAGAGTCCAACTTCAAAACCAGCTTTATAAATATAGAAATATGGTTTAATATTACTTACACAACCCATTCAGTTTTCTTGATATTTCCTATTGGGCAGGTATTTTTCCATCTGTCAGTATCCAAACATCCAGGGTCCCTTGAATTTTTCAAAGATGAGTGTTTTCCTGTGGAGATAAGAACAGAACCCTGCCCCCATTCTATATGTTTTTCTTACCACCTGTGTTGCAGGAGGTCCTCCCACTCCTCCAGCTTATAGCTGCTGAGATACCAGCCCATTGGGGCGTGGTCTCTCTCCCTTTAAAAAAGTGGCCACTTCCCTCTCCTCTCTCTCTTCACTTCCTGCTCCGCCGGCGACTAGACTCCCTTCCTGGTTGTGTAGAGGGCTGTTGTCTGGGACGGCGATCTGTAAGTTTTTTCCACTTTAAATAAATACCACCCTATTAATCATAATTCCAAACTGGTGTGGCATTGTTAGTGATTTACGCCTTCATTTGGCGCCCAACGTTTGGTTTTAGAACCTCTCCTTTCCCTACTTGGCTGCCGGCTGCGAGTTCGGCCTGGCGGGAGCCCTCCCTTCCTTAGCTGCCACCTGTGCCTTGCAGGGGCGGTCTTGGCCTCCCCACGTGGATTTAAACTCCACAGGCCCGCGTAGTCTCTGCCTGAGTGGTTTGCTCTTTTCTGAGTCGTTTTAAATCTCCCTTGCAAGCACAGCTCTTAACTGGCGCAAATCAGAGCACGCGGTTGCTGAAAGCTGCAACCCCTCAGGGTGACTCTGTCACATGGAGGCATAAGCAGCTTCCAG